AAAAAAAAGGAAGAGAGAAAGAAAGAAAAAAACCTACACACGCTCTGACACACACACACAGGTGCACATCCACAGATCGAGTCTGCGCTTTAAGGACGTGGACGCGGCGTTTCTCTCGTGCCTGTCAAACCCGGGACCGGTCTCTTGTTTTGGGGCTATTCACTGACCAAACCAACACCAACCTGTGACATGACTAATGCGTTGACGCAAAGCTTTATACCTGGGAACAACTCCCGGGCTCCAGCCGGGTCTGTGGCTATTAATCAGACACGGAACGTGCTGTATTATGGAAACTATCAGCGGCGCTCGCGTTAGACACAAGGACACGCCGTATTACTCTCTTTATCTGACAAAGCCGAGCGCTTTGGGACAACATCTGTTTGCCACACACACACACGCATGCACGCACACACACACACGCATACACGCACGCTCTCTGCCCCTGTCCATCTCCCAGTCACACGCGCGCGTGCACGCTCGCGATCGAGCACGGAGAGAGCACTGAAGGACTGACATGTTGCTGGATGAACACAGATGAACTCTCTGTGGCCCTTTCAGTAAATTCATCCGCGTATATTAATCTATATACACACATATGCACGCATCTATCTATCTATATTTTTTTTTTTAATTGCGCAAACAATACACATATTTTGACTTTAATCAAGAGGCGAAGCGCCGCTGTGCTGCCATGTAACAAGGAAGAGCGAAGGAATCACGAGTTGCCCATTAATATTTTGCAACAAAATGTCTCAAAAGGAACACAGAGAGCCTCTCTTGCAACTTTAATTACACCAGAGCATGGCTTCGTATCTAGGCCAGCCTCACATGGTAAACATTTTTTTTTTTAAATCTACTGTAGGGTATGAATTTAAAACGGGGGGGAGGGAGCGATTGCGACAGTTTAAAGTGAGCTTTTATTTTTGGGAGAAACATGGCACCAAAATCCAGACCAAAAGAGTCCCACCAGATCCAGTTCTTATTTATCCCAGAAACTGGACCTGCAGTATTGCTTTACCTACAGACACAATATTAGCCAGCCTCCCCTCGCCTGCTGAGCACATCTGAACGTAACCCCATCTCATAAATGCAACGGCGTAATGATATTAATTCACAAAAAAATGTAGGCTAGACATCTGTCTCAGTGTGAGCCGCTTCGCTCCAAGGATAGATTTCACGCGTGCACAAAAAAAGCAAAAAAAAAAAAAAAAAACCAACCACCTCTCCCGGTAAGTTTAACAAACTGAAATGCATTTAAGACAGTTTTCTAGTGAGAGTATATAAGAGCAGTAGGAAGGAGAAGAAGAAGGGAAAAAAATGCAATAAGGAAACGTGTTTCCTCTGACTCAAATAACTGACCTAAAAGCCAAATGCGCACGTCGCCTGCCACAGTTGTTCCGGGCTCACAGTGTGTAAAATGTGAGCAGGCAGCCCGCGAGCATCGCTCAGGCTTTCGCTGATTGAGAGAAACAGACCTGTGAACACACTTTGACCGGAGTAGTATTGTTCTCAAGTGTCCCCCCCCACCACAACCACCACCACCTCTCCACTGTCCGGCTCACGGGTAAATCTAAAAGTAAAGGGGGCACAGTCAGAATAATGACAGATGGCAAACTTGCGTCACGCCAGGGCAGCGCGTTTTTTGGTAGTCGAATATAGATGGACAACAAAACCCCCTGGCAGCCAAAACTGAATACCCTCACCCCTACCTACCTACCTACCCTACCACCACCACCCCCTTCCTCCTCTAATCTAAAGCAAGGGGCTCGTTTCATTAGGCTACATTTCGGACGCTGGCATCACGTATATTGAACGTTCGTGACCCTCCAAAGAATGAAGTTTCCAATGTTTGCGGAGATTTCTGGGGGGGCTGGTAAAGCCAGCCACAACTACATGGGAAGTGAGTGGCATTTTCATGCATTTCACCCGAAAGTCAGCGAGCATGTTTTAATCCCCGATAGAGGAAATTCCTTGTATTCCCCCCCTTCTCTCTCTCTCCCGCTCCCTCTCTCTCTAATAATAGCGGCAGAGATGTTGTAAAGACCCATCCCTTTTCCTACTTTTCTCTCAATTTCTTACCTGCACTTCGAAGCTCGTTCACAAGAAGAAAAAAAAAGTGGCGACAGCGTTTCCACGGCGTTCCCCCCCCTGACGAAGCGCGCTGAGTTGATGTCTTTTTTTTCCTTCTTCTTTTAATATGTTCCCTTACTTTGTTTCATTTCTCACTTCCATCTTCTTTTCATCTCATCAATAAACACACGCTGCAGCCTACCTTCATAGAGCAGCTCGGTTCAAGTGTGCCCTCCCATTTTTTAACTATACATCGAGTACTTTGAGGGGTGGTGGTGGTGGTGGAGGAGGTGGAGGAGGGAGGGAGGGGGGTGAACGGGCAGGCACGCCTTTTCACTTAAAGCTGCTATTGGAAGAACAGTGCACTGTCTTGGGTTGGATCAGAAATCCGTCAACATTATTGCGCCCCAATCGCAGGGAGCGCGGTGGGACGGTCAAACCGGCTCCATTATGGCTCTCTGGAAGTGGTAGGAGTTGTAGTAATAGTAGTTGTAGCGGGCTAATAGCGTTCAACCTACTCATTTGCCACTGCCTAAGCAGCAGCACGGCAGTTTATATAAGTGGAAGTCGGGCTGTGAAAGTGAGCGGTGCCTGTAAAAGGATGAGGGTTAAACAGGCTCGCAGTGACGATAAAAAGCAGGCGAATCTCTTCCTGAACCCATAAATCCCCCCACTTCTTCTTCTTCTTCTTTTTTTATGTAATTCACTCATTTTTATTACGTGGCTTTCAGCGCCAACAGTTTTAAAATCTCTGCGCTCGCAAATGTGAATGAACTCCGAAATCAATCCCCACTTTGGGATGAAGAAGGACAGGGGGAATTGTCGGTTACACGTCCATCACGCGTCTGAACTTCTGATTGGACGCCGCCTCTGCCTGTACCGCGAGCCAGCTGCGCCGACGCTTCCCATTGGACGCCGGCGCCGTCGCTCACTTCCAGCGCCAACAAGCTAGATTGTCTGCCGTGTCTTCTACTTTCTACGCATTTCTATTTTCTCATTTATTTATTTTTTAACGTCCCGAGCTGACCTCGGGTTTGCGAGCAGGGGGAAAAAACGGTGTCGGTTCAGCCGGCCAATCAGATTTGGTTGAGCCGCTGCTTTTCCCCTTTTGTTGTTGTTGATTTTTTTGTCATTATCCAGTGCCTTGAGATATATTCTGGCTGTCTTAGAAAAAAAGCAGTAATGGGTCATGTGGGATCCCCCCCCCCCAACCTCCCCGCACCCACCGCCTTAATGCCCCCCTCCCTGTCTAGACAGTGACAGGTGTGCGTGTGTGCGCACACTCTTGTCTGTGGTTCACATCGGAATAATGAACCACGTAGAAGGTAGTGTATAACAGATACTTTAAATAAAATATGTATGTGTGTGATTAGGGTGTGCAGTGGACGGAGTGTTCAGTGTAAGCTTCCCTGCTTCTTGAAAGACAAGCTTTTTACTTGACAAAGAGGTCAACTAAGGTTAGCCCCATGTGACAAACCGTCCTGCGTCCCGAGCTGAGCTGCTCGGTGAAAGAGGGATTTCAAACGAATAAATAAATAAATAAAAACTCTCTTTAAGCAAAGCTGCACTCTTGAACTTTGCGTGCAAAACCCTCCAGCTGTACAGGAGAGACAGAGGTGCTGCTTCAGACAATCGCCATCTCGGAAGCTGGGTAGGCTCCTTACGGATATTGTTGTGCGAGCACCGCGGTGAGCACCCAGGGCACTCTCAGTTGACTGTGCGCGCCATCTGCAGGACTGCGATGTGGATTAATACCGCGGGTTCAACGGAGGACACCCTTCCGTCACTGCTTTGACCTACATTAACCAGGAACAGTGTAGGAACACCATACCGGCCTTAATGCGATCGGTTGCAATCCGACAACGAATCACGGAAACCAAAAAATGCCTTTAATACTCATTCAAAATCAGAATGATCACAATCTTAGATCACAAATAGAAAAAAATTGCACATCAGTGCGGTGAACGCCTTTCCCGGAACAGTATTTAGGATACTTCGCGTTATTAACACGATGGCTCAGCCGGCACCACGTGCAGGGAGGATTCACCACGGAGAACATTGTGTTTCTGTGGTGGCTCTTAAGTGCTTTGCATATTTTACCGGACTTGCCTTTATGGCAACGGGTTGTTGACACCATTAGAAATTTAATGAGAAACGTGCTTAGTTTATTTGTAGTTATCTGCCTATTTGTGCTATTAATACAGAATCAGGCATTAAGTGAAGGGACTGAGGGCAAAGCAGCTATTTTGTAAAGCTTGCTAAAACACATGCTTTTAACTTAAAATTTTGTGCAATGCATCTAAAAATGAAATTTAAATTGCAGTACAATTGCATGCCTATTTTTCCTTATTGTGCCGGTTTATTAACAAATTAAGCTATGCTATTTAAAAGTGAATTTAAAAAGAAATCAAGGATGGTGTGAAAAAAATGATTGAAAATATGGTTGATATTAAATGAATACCTCATGACAAGAAAATAGCAAATTTATATATATTATATATATATTACAATACTGAAAATCTTTAAAAATAAATAAATATATAAATACATGAAAATGCAATAAATAAATAAATAAAACTATTTGGTTTCTTAGAGCTTCCCTGAGGATTATGAATAGCCTGGAACTGTTTTTTTTTTTTATTCCCAAACCTCTTAACTTAGCCTTGTTAATAGCATTATTTAAGAAATTTGACCAATTTTAACAACTAAATAAGATTGTTCTAAATACATCTGCTGAGCCCCTAAAGACCTTTGTTCATTTCTGATGAGTCCTCATCAATTTCCAGAGAAAATCCACAGATTTTTTATTTTTTTATTTTTTTTACAAAATTCTGCAATTAATAAAATAAATGGCTGCGCAGTTTAGAGAAAATCATATTTTCAATTAAATTTTGATTTGATTAAGCCTCACCTTTACCTTTTGAACACTAAAATATTGTACTACAAATCACTTCTCTATTAGATTTTTGGGATCCTTCTGAATTCTTACAAGTAAAATCCATATCTGGAGGTAAAATAGGAGCATACATGTGTATAATCTCACAATGGCAGGTCAGGGCACACCTCACACAGCAGCTCTGCGACTTAAAAATTATTTGGTTATTCGTTAATTAATTTATTTGTCTGTTGTGCTTCTCCCCATATTCAAATACAAGTTAGGCCTTAGCTTTCACTTCATTTGCACATGACCTCTGAGAGCCTGCTTGGCCTTACATACAGCCGTGTAGTCAGACAATGATGCCACTGCAAGCTTCAACAAACCAGCTTTTGGTAATCAGTTAACCGACAACTGATCCTACAAGTTTGGACTCAGGATGTGCAACTAAAAATATGGCATGGTAGGCTATTATCGCTCTAGAAACACATAGAAACACATCAGTGTTTCCCACGCTTATTTGTGTGCTTTAAGAAACGGTACTGTGCAAGTCCACTCACAAGTCTTGTCCTTGTATCTTTTGCTCTCCCATTAATACATTTCACCAAATGAATGGACCATGGGCTATTCATTTTACAGACAGTCTAGACAACTCATTATGGCTTGTATCTCAACTTACAATGTGCAAACTGATTTTGAATTAGTTGTGGTTCAATTAAAAATATTATTACCTTCCCAATCCATCCCATTTAAACCCCGTCTTAGTAGACACAGGTTAATGGCTCATCATCTCAGCAATCTTTCTCATTACTTTGTTTACGTCAACTGTAAACTGAACAATCTGCAAACCACTTTGGTAAAATTCAAATTTAGTTAGCCATAGATATTAACAAATGCTAATGCTAACAAAGCACTTAAGTGGCACCAACATTTATGAACATTTTTCAGCATGGCCCTTCGTCATTCACCGCTCACACTCCTTGTGTCCTCAGAGTTGCTGTGTCTTAATGCTCTGTGGCATAGATTCAAAAGGGTGTGGTAAACATTCCTCAGAATGTTTTGGTCTATACCGAAGTGATATTATCATGTTTTGGCAGTTTTGTTGGTAGCACCTCAGCGATGAAAACTTCCTGCTCTACCGCTTATAGAACAGTAAAGTCGTTGTCATGTTCAAAAACAAGTCTGAGCTGTTAAGGCTTTTTAACACGACATATTAGCGAAGATGGATCCACTCTTTCTTGTTGCTTGTGCCAGATTTTGACCCAGCCATATAAATATCGGTGCAGAAAGCGAGAGACATCGCACAAGATGGCATTGGTCCATTCTTCATGTGGCCTGTGGTGAAAGGAGTAGCAAATATAGGTGTTGTCTTCTGCTGCTAGCTCATCTGCTTCACACACACTGCAGCTTTGAGCTTTTCCTAGGCATTACCCTACCCCACACCAAAATGCAAATAAACGGCACAATCAACCTCGAATTAAACTATCTTTAACTTTCCTGTTCCTGACTTCAGTTCAAAGTCTGAGTGATATCCAACTGCGACAATTGACAGAATTTTCACAGCTAGCAGTCATCTTGCGTCATGCCACCGTCATGTTCTTAATGGTTTTTCACGGATTTTCCGGAGTTCATGTTTGAAAAAGTCTTGTTGTGCATTCAGAGGTGTTCTTAACCTCAGTTGTAATAACTGGTTATTTAAGTTATTGTTGTTTCTCAATCACCTTCAACCAGTCTGGCCATTCTTCTCTGCCATTTAGCACTTAGCACTTTCTTTTTTGGGCCGCTGCTTGAGTTGGTTGTGTGTGAAAATCATAATAGCTCTGCAATTTGTGAAATAATCAAACCGGCCCAAGTGGCAGCAACAACTATGCCATGTTCAAAGTCACTTAAATAGACGTTCCACCCTATCCCAATGATTGATTTGCACTTGAGCGGATCCTCTTGACCATGTCTACATTCTTAAATCCACCAGCTTTCTGCCACATGAACGGCTGATTAGACATTTGCTTTTGAGGAGCAGCCGAACAGACTGACCGGTGAGTGCACCACGTATATGAACCCTTTTTTCTTCTTACAAGTGCAGCAAAGATTGAAGTCCTTTGTGTGTAATACGGTTGCTGAACCTCTTCAGTGTCAAGCATGAGCTGCTGGTTTAAACTAGTCAACAAGGTCATGCTGCACCACACCGCCATCTTAGCAGAGTGCCACCACAGAACATCATTGTTCTGTGTCATCATGTGGGAAATCCACATTAGATTTGTTTTATGTCTGGTGTGTAAAGCTACTTGAAAATCTAGATTGTGCCATGGTCCATCTGTGAATGCCAGCCTACCATCCATGCATGGATGCGAGGCCCACTTGAGTACTCAGTCACACTTTGTCTCTTAATCAGTATCATCACTCCAA